TTTTTTTGCCTTTTTGAGACAGGGTTTCACTATGGAGCTCAGGCTGGCCTTGAACTCACTTTGTAGCCCAGGTGGGCCTCGAACTCATGGTGATCCTCCTGCCTCAGCCTCCCAAGTGCTGGGATTAAGGCATGCACCACCACGCCTGGCCATAATGCACCATTCTTAAGAGTCAAAAAGGAGAACCAACCCAAATGCCCACCACGGATGGACAGATCACCAAAACACGGCACATCCATGCCATCAGATATTATTTGGCTCTACTAAGGAATGAGGCGCCGATACACACCAACACGGATGAACCTTGAACGCATTACACAGACACACATGCTCGTGCCTCGTAACACACCTAGACACAAGAGGCCACACGCTGTGTGATCTGCGTGTGTGAACTTTTCAGAACAGGCAAATCCATGGGAGAATCGGAGCTAGATGAGCAGTATTTAAATGTGAGGGGTTGGGGAAGAAGGGGAGCTGCTGGGGACGGGGATGAGCTTGGGGTTCTGCTTGGCGTTGTAAGTTCCAGTGTGGTGACACAACGCTGTGACAGTCGTAGAAACGGTAGAGGTGACGTTTACGTGGCTGAACTGCAGAGTGAATTATTATCTATAAAGCTGCTCTAAAAATTATGTATGAAGATCCTGCATAGCCCAGCGGGGCTGAGAATCTGTAATCCGTGGCAGGTAGAATGATGAGTCCCCCGATGTACCCAGGCCCCGATGCCCCAGCCGTTACTTTCTGCCGCAAAGGGACTGTCCAGAAGAGACTGAGGGTATGGACGCTGAGCCGGGGCCTTATCTCAGACCACAAGAGAGCCCCAGTCTAATGCACAAGAGCCGCTAAGGCCCAGACCCTTCCCCACCGAGTCAGAGAGCTGTCCTGGGACAAGGCAGAGCACTGGAGCACCCAGGCTTTTCCAGTGGCCAGGGCATGGCCCAGCCACGAAACTTCCAAGGGAACAGGGCTTTCTGTCCGAAAACCTCCAGGCTCAGAGTTCTGCCTTATGAGCGTTACGGCTGAGGCCCACACAGAAGCAAGAAAGAGAAGCTGGGCGTGGCAACCCATGCTGGTAGTTTAGGCAGGAGGTTCTTGTAGGCTGAGGCAGGAGGATCCCAAATTTGAGCCCATCCTGGGTAACTCAGTGAATCCCTGTTGCAAAGTTAGAAAGGGCTGGGGATATGGCTCAGTGGGAAGGGGCTGGATTTAATTCCTGGGAAGATGAGGAGGAGGAAAAGGAGGGGGAGGGGAGGAGGAGAAGGACAATGAAGGAAGGGAGGGAGGGAGGGTGGGAGAAGTCTCTACACAGGAGCTCAGTCCCGACCCCTTATTCAGCCCGGCGAGACCCAAGTTAGACTTCTGACCTTCACAACACGAGATAATAAATCTTTGTTGCTTAACTGTCGTAAACTGCGCTGATGTTTTAAAAAAAATGCTGAGATAAAATAGTTTATTCCGAGCCAAAACCAAGAGACTCAGGAAGATATTGCTCCCCGTGAAGGAGATTACACAAGCTTTTAGAGTCCCCTGAGAAAGGAGGTGGGTCATCAAGCAGTCGGGGTACAAAGAGCGTTGTGCCGGGTATGGTGGAGCACACCTGTGATCCTAGCACTCCAGCTGGGAGGCTGAGGCGGGAAGAGTGAAAGTTCAAGCCCAGCCTGGGCAACTTGGCAAGACTTTGTCTTAAAAATTATAAAGGGCTGGGGGTATAGCTCAGTATACAATCCCTAGGACACCCCCCCAAACCCAAACCAGACCAAAATAAAATAAAATAAAAAATTTAAGTCAGACACAGAGGCTGACCCTGCGGCTGTCATAAGGGACTGGAGGATAGAGTCCAGTGCCACCTTGACTTCCAAGAAATTTCCCCTCAAAGCTCCAACCAGCAAAATCCAAACAACCCGGAGGCCCCTGAATACAACCTCGGTCTCTGCGGAGACCTTCAGCTCCCAAGTGTCACAGGCTCCGTGGAAAACTAATCCATCACTACTCTGTGTAGCCCATCCTAAAAAAGGAAAGAAGAGGGCTGAGGTCTCTGGAGTCTGGGGATAAGACCCCGAGAGGCTTGTTCCCGCCCTCCCGTCCCGGGGATGCAGGGGAGGTGGGTGCAGCCGATGCAGGAGCTGTGCCCGAACATAGCAGCTGCTCCAGGGTTTATTTCGAACTCACAGAGATCAGTGAGTCATTCTTGGCTCTGGGTTTCACGTTCCAGGGCTGTGGTGCTCACTGAGTTAGCCTTGAGCTCTGCCTCCCCCAAGATTAGGTACTGAGAGGAAAACTCCAAAACAATCAGCTTTGTGCATGGAGCCCTGGGTGAGAAGCCGTGGACGCAGTTGGTCACGGGACCCCTCCTCCCCCGGACACTGATCCTTTCCAGCTTCCTTCATGGATTTTTGGGCACCCCCGGCCCCTTGTGGCCTGGAGTGTACCAGAGCCGAGGTTCACACAGAAAAAAGATTCAGGTAGGCGAAGGCAAAGTCCAGGGTTTTTATTTATTTATTTTTCCAGTACTAGGGGTTGAACTTAGGTCTTTCACGCTGAGCTACATCCTCAACCATTTTCTCTCTTTTTAAAAATTTGAGACAGGGTCTCACTAAGTTCCTAAGCTGGGCTTGAATTTGCCATTCTCCTGCCTCAGCCTCCAAGAGCACTGGGATGAACAGACAGGGTTTGGGATGTTGGTTTGGGGAGGCCACGCTCTGGGGCCTAGATGACCGGGGTTTAGCAGGACCACACTGTCTCACCACAGAAAGAAAACAAAGCCCTGCCCCACTCAGCACGGAGGCAGACCCCAGGGAGATGAAGACAGGCAAGGGGGCAGGCAGAGGACGCGCCCGTCTCAGGGCGGTGCGGGAGGGGGCAGCAGCGGCTGGACAGGGTGACAGCAGGCTCATGCTGCCCTCGCTCCCCCCAGCCACATCCGGTGGGGGACCGAGGTGGGTACAAGGGCATTTTCTTGGTATGCTGGTTACAACTGAGGTGCTCTGGAGATATCGTTAAAAATACCTTCACGGTCCCAGAAGGTCATGGTGGTGGCTGCACAGAGATCTGGGACGTATCCCTCCGTGCCTCTCACCCTCTGAGGACCCGTGCACCCCACCCACTGCTTCCCTGGGCCTGGCTTTCAAAGCCCGGTTTCATAGGGTCGCAGGATGTGGGAAGAGCTCCAAGTCTGGCATCACCCGACTGCAGGTTGGCGACCCCTGCCCTGGACGCTCCTGCCCCCTTCCAGCTGTGGAGTGGCCCAGAGGGTGGCACCTCATTCCCTACAGCCGCCCAGATGGCACTCAGTGTGGCCTATTTCCTTCCTGAAGCTGAGAACCCCCCTGCAGGCCCCCAGCTGGCCCTGGGGCTTGGTGGGCAGTGGAGGCCATTCAGCTCCCGGCCTCCCTGGAACCCCCTGCTCGACATCCTGTGTGCTGATCCTGCCCAGTGCCCCGCTTTGCCCCAGCAGGCACCGCCAAATTTCTTCTGCTATTCCGTCGCTCCCAGCTTGAAGGGAACCACCCCGAAACACAAAACTGTGGCCTGTTTTCACTCTCCTGAGTAGCCCAGTGGTCTTGGGCAGAGGTGGTCCACAGTCTCCGTCCCCAGGGGAGATATGGGGTTGGGCACCCACGTCCAGGAGGTGGCCCCCAGCATTCTGGCCGGTCAGGGCAGTAGGGGTCCTGCCTTAATCAGCCCAGGCCACTCGGGCTCTGCTGAGAAAGGGACCACCCAGGGAAGAGGGGATACTGGGGCACTGACAGAGCCTTAGGGCCAGAAGAGAAGCGGGCATGGGGTCAGACAGGACGGCATGAGGGTCACCTACTCCTTCACACCATCACGGAGAGGGACAGATGGAGGACAGGTGTTATGTGCCGAGTGCTGGGAGGAGCCACTGACCCTGTTACTCCACCTATGCCCTGAGAAGCACGCTGGGATGGAACCCGGAGCCGTCTCTCTGAGCTACATGTCCCCTTAACAGTTTTTTTTGAGACCAGGTCTGACTCAGGCTGGGCCTGAACCTTCAGTTCAACCGCTTCACCTCTCAGAGGGCTAAGATCACGGGGGCCGTCTCTGTTAAAGTCACACAGGTAGAAGTCTCCATTCGCTCAGTCTTACAAACTTCTCAGGTAGGTAGTGCCGTGAAACCCGCTGGACAGAAATAGGCCAGCCCCGTTCGCAGGGACTACCCTGTGTGGGATCGAGGCTGTCTGGTGGGGCCGCGACAGGAGTGTGCCCCGACCTCTGAATACCACCCCTGGGTGTCGGCGATGCACGGGCCGCTCACCCCACAGACGGGGGTTAGGGTTAGGGGTAGGGTTAGGGTTAGGGGTAGGGTTAGGGTTACGGTTAGGGTCAGGGCTGGAGAGGTCAGGTAACCTGTGCCGGGCCCCAAAAAGGACCAAAACCAGACTGCGGGTCTTCTCCGCCACACAGCCCTGGCCCTTGGCATCTCCGGGAGCGCGTGCTCTCCCCGGAACATCGCCGGATGAGTCTTGGACCGAGCGCCCGGAGATGGAAGAGCAGAGCGCGCCCCACAGCAGCAAGCGAGCCCCGCCCTCCAGGTGATGTCACGCGTGGGCGCGGCACGCCACCCTCGACCCCGCCCCCGTGCCCGCCCTCG